AACTTGTTAAATACAGATTTCCTTTGCTTAGTGGATGACTTAATTTACATATTCTTTGGCCTTTCCACATGACCATGTAGTTCCCTCTGAAAGAGTGGTTCCTTACTGACACTTTTGTTCTCCATCTAAATCTCCTCATTGAGTAGAGATGTAGCCAGGAAAAGCGTTGCAAATTTAATGATTATTTGTACTTTACCTTGGTAAAGTTTGGAAGGTCAGCAGTTTGGAAAACAGTCCCATGCAAGTTTTCTGCGAAGCAGAAGATGGATTGTGATGTCGTTGCAGGCAACCTGTTTCATTGTGCCCTTCCTTACTTTCACCTCCATTTCCCTTTCCTTCCCATATACGCCTCAGGCAGCGTTTGCAAAAGAGAAAACAATGGGACCATTAAATATGACATGCTAGTTCAGTTTATAAGATAAAAGTATTTATTCTAACAAAATTTCATTGCAGTTGGATATTTTTGTTTCATTTCTTTTGAAGCCAGATATTTATCCATTCAGAAGGCATTTCCTTTGTTTTTGTAAAATATCAATTCTTTTTAGAAATCTATTCTTCAGCATATAAGCAACTAACAAATAAGTGATCTCCTAGGTCTGCAAGTTCTATCCGAATATAGTTATTACAATAGTGAGCACAAGATGCATGCCTTCTCTTTTTCCTAAAAACTTTTTTTAGTATTGTGCTTCAATAGAGCTTTATTCTTTAAACCAGAATCCCTCATTGCAAAGGATTACTTGATTTTTTATTTATGTTATGATTTGTTCGTAATAAGCTGCTTGGAAAAAAAATTAATCTGAAATTAATGTAATTTTTATTTGTTGCAGCTTTAAAAAAAATTCTTAGATAGTTAAAGTTATAAGTAATCACAGAAAGAGTCGCAGGATCTTAGAATTGTATTTAACAATTCAAAAAAGTTGTCATTGGAGTGTTGCAGTCTTAAAAATAACATCAGGAATGTTTTTATGTTTCAGTTTACAGAATCCTCCAGGAAGCAAGGCATTCAGAGTATTTGCTGTTGTTTGAGTCTAGCAAGTAAAATGTAAAACAAGCAAGTGAAACCAGAGCACTTGGAAGAGAATAATAAAGGCCATTTCTTATAATTCCTAAAATTTGTATAAAGCTGTAACATTATTGTACAGAAGATGTATACTGCTTTCCACCAAAAAGTTTAAATTACATATATATCTTAATGAAAAAGTCTGTAAAAGTAAACATGGGAGAAAAAGTCATTTGAAAATCTATAATGATATATAAAAGTATTTTGAATCCTGTGTTAAATATTGCTATATTTTCTTAGCAGTTACTCCTATACAGTTAATTCAAAGCTCATAAATGTTCTTTGTTTTCTTCATCTGAATATATTATTGTATGGTGCTTTATATATGCCACTAACAGTAACCTTAAAACTATACCATAGGGAGGCCTGAGTTTTTATTTCCAATGTACATAAAAGAAGCCATCCCAATAATTCAATATAATAAACCATTCCTGAAAGTAAAATAAAAATATATATAACTTTTTGATGATTTACAGTAGCATTAGCTGTGCAAGCATAAATGAAGAGCTAGACTGTTTTCAATTTCACACTAATCATAAGTACCTATTTTGAAGTAAAATGGAAAATATAAAATGTAGGGAAGTCCTGGGTCATATTAGCATGTTTTCCTCTAAAGAAATATTTTTAAGAGACTGGGCCATTCATATTTATTATTTCTTAAGTATGTTAATAAATAAAATGTTTACTGGATGCTGCTAAGCTCTTTAGTTCAAATAACCAATTCATTATGGCCCAGTCCTTCACAGATATTCAGCTATCTTGGGATGGGTGAGTGAGAGATAGACATATATAACCTTGAAGAATCTGAGAAAATTTTCATATTGAGAAGTGGAGTAACCTAAAATTAAAGAATAAGCCATCAGTTCTGCAGTGCAGCTCTGCACACATACATGCTTTATTTTTGCCATATGACTCCTTCATTTTACCTAACTTGGGTTTCAGCAAAAACATAGAATTGTATACATACATAAAATTTTGCAATCTTGAGGCCTTAAACTGTGCATGGTATCCGTATACTATACATTAATATGAGGGTAAATATTCAAGAAAAACTTACAGCAAAGACTAGCCTTGCTCCTCATGACCTGGCAAATACTCCTGCAGGCCAGGAAGTATAGTGGTACGGAGTCCAGTGACGATTATGTCATTTGTTGCTTCACCAGTTTTAAAAATTCATTTATGGTGAACAGCCTTGTGCATTAATTTTACCATATTATGGTATATGAAGAACATGTAGTGGTGATACTGTTTCTTTCTATGAAAAGTGTATTGGTGCTTTAAGACTGAAAAGCTGTTAAACTTTATTTTTGGTATTTTTTGTTTCTGTTGTTGAATTTATTTCCTTCAAACTTGTAAACTTCATATTTCAGAATACTATATTCTGCCTTTTATTTTGCTACATGTACTACCTCATGTAGTTAGGCAAGCTTTGTTATTTTTTTTTAATCTGTTTTGAATAAAATTAATTTACATGGTAAGAGTACCTTTGACAGCCTTTGTTTTTGGATTGTTTGTCCTGCCTCTAGAAGGAAAAAATAACAGCCACCCAAAATTTTCTTCTTTTTTCTGACCTAAACATTGCAAGAGTACGACCAAGCAGTAGACATAGTCTGAGGTTCTAAAAGCTGTAAAGGCAATTTAGGCACATAACTTCCATTAATTGCATTGGGAGCTTTATGGAGAAATCTTCTGGTAATTTTTTCAAGTTTTGACCAGGGTCAAAGAAAGCAAGAATGCTTTCTCATTTTAACAGGGAACTCTGTGTCAGGAAGTGATTACAAAAAAGCTACCACCTTTTGTTCAGTCCAGCTCTTTGCTGTTGTGGTAAATGTTTCTAGTGCGAGTGTTCCTAGCTACATTTGTTGGGAACAAGCAGGTTTTTATATTACACATTCTTTTTTTGTGTCATAAGACTAATGGTCAACTTGGGAGTTCTGGTTGGGAAATCTATTTAATTGGTGAGGGAGAGAAAGAGTCTGTGATATATAACCCCTTTTTTTGCAGGTGGTGGCAGCGGGGCATTGAAAGAAGGTTATATAGATTTTGCAATACTGACATTAACTGTTTTTCAGAACTGAAACCAAAATGCAAGTAGACTTTGACAATGATGGGACTCCAAGACACTCAAAGGCTTGAGATAGGCTTGCACTACCTTTCCTTAAAAGCACCAAAGCAGTAACACAGACAGGCCTTGCAATACCTACCGCTGGGGTTATCAGAACATAAATGGAGTAAGGCTACTTCTGAAATGAAGGAAATGCAGAACTGCTGAGGGAGGCATTTGAAATAAAATGATGTGAATGCAACCGTAGTGCCCCTTTCCATAGAAGCAGGATGCATTCTTGCAGCCTGGCATTGCCATTCAGCAGCTCTCCATGCCCCCTGCCTGGCTCGCGGTCCCCAGCATTTGCCTCAGGGAAGCCTGCTGGGTGCTGCAGAGCCTGGGCGGTGAGCTAGTTCCCTGTTCTGCTGAGTAGGGTGTACCCCTTTCTTTGAGCAGAGCCTGGGGTGAGGGAAAAAAGACAGTCACACCTTCAGTCATACCCACAACTTCCTCACTTTGGGTGGATGAATGATTGGAGTCCCATGTGGAAACACAGTTGCCACACCAAATTTCTGCCTTTTTTTTCCTCCATTTGTTCCTGACGTCTTTTTTGTTCTGCTGTGTATCTTTGCTTCCTCTCCTCTCTTTCATCTGTAAAGTCCCACCTACATTTGCTGGGAGTTCCTGTGCACGGGGGCAGGACCCTTGGTGCTGTAACAACAAAGTTAGTGCTTCGTGGGAGGAGAAGTGGGGGCTGCCTTCAAAGTGTGTGAATGGTTGCTGTGAGCAATTAATATTGACTAACACAGTGACAAGAAGAAAGGGAGGTAACTCTTTCTCCTCACATCTTCTGTTGCACAAATTTTAGAGTCCTGTTGCTTTTCCACATGCAATGATTCTATCCTATTATAAATATCCCAGCTAACATCAACTTTTTGAGCAATTCTCTTCTATATTTACTGTAAGTAATGAGTCAATGAGTAGATATTTCCAAGCAGTTGTAGACTGAGAGCTACACATTGGTATTTTTGTCTGCACCAGCAGCAACTGTATGCCAGATGGTCACAACTAATTCACAGAAAGCCCAAGTGAGTAACTAGCAGTATCAGAAAATTTGTTGTAGCCTAATGAAAAAATATAGAAGTCAAATTTTAAATTCTGAAGAATTATTTGGTTAACCAAACCATTACAAAGTTATGTTCTCAACTTGAAATTAAAAAAAAAAAAAGGATAATCAGTACGAAAGTAAAGGTTAATTCATGCTGTTCATAATATTTAGCTTGCCTCCAGGAAAGACCTATAAGTAGCCTATAAGTTGTAATAGAATTATTACAACTGATACATAACAATCCCCTGCCCGCCAAAAGAAAAAGCTGTTTTAGTATGTTGATATCTGCCATTTATAATTTTGGAAGGGCTAAAATATCAAGAAATGCAGTAGGCCCTTGAAAGTATATGTGAAGGAGGGAAGAATACATATGAACCATTTCCCATGATCCTGTGGTATTTCCCATTGTGAATTGCTCCATGAGGAATCTTTTCAAAAGAAAAGCATAGGAACCATTTGGAGAGGAGTCAAGTATTTGTCAAGCATAGTTCACTTGCCTGGTGAGCTTTTCAGTAAGAATCAATTGAGACATTTCTCTGCTATGCTGCATCCCTTCCAGCTGGAGTAGCTGAATCATAACTAAACAAGAATTAGTATGAAAGTAAGTGGTGAGACCCAAACAGATAATTCTTTAACAGTCTCTCACCATTTTGATAACTATATGAGAATACGTTTGTTTTAGGGAACTTTGGACCCATACTCATGTCAGCAGGCAGCTCGTAGTACTAGCTGGACATAAACTAAGGAAACTAAGAAGCATTTCCTAAGCTTTGTGGATACTGAGGAATTTTAGAGAGTTTACAGACTTCCTTGTGTCTGATTTCTGCATAGGGGACAGTCTGATCTAGAAATTATACATAAAGTAATTTTGGAACCAAGCCTGAAATGCAGGTTGGGATAATGTGTGTAAGTTTACAGGTTTTTAACTGGTGAAGTACACAGTTTCAAGTTTTATGTAAATGTCAGACTGTCAGCTGTCTATGAATTCTCAGTGGATTTAGAAGAAGAAAAGTAACATCAGCTTTTTTGCATGTATTGATACGTATGCCCAGGACAATGCACGACACTACTTCATATGGCAGAGATGTAACCAAGGTACTCACATAAACGATGTCTTCTGTGTGGCAATTGCTTTTGAAGCATGTTTTGAATTTGACTTAAAACTCACATAACCCAGCTTCCTGTGAATACACAAGGGAAGGTTTATTTCCTGCAATTTCTGTAGTTGTACAAAGGGTCAGATTTAGAAATGTAAATATTTAGAAGTTACAAAGATTATTCATACAGTACAATATTCTGTTTGGAAATTTGTATAAATACTGTATGAAATACTGTACTGTCACACTTCTATGTCTTAAGGCTTTTTATAGCATCTGTGGAACCCTAGGGAATTATACAAGGAATGAAAAGCCTGAAGAGTTTTGTTTCATTCACTGTATAGTATGCATCTTACAGGCTTTAGATATACAAATGATAGCATACATTAGTATTCAGAAAATTGCATATGATTTTATAAAGACATACATTGTGCATATGGGAAAAGAAGCCATGCTGTCAGCCTTAGCTTTAGCCTGTCTTCGCTGTCAGCAATAAATGATGGAAATAGTATTTTAAATATGGTCACTACCGATATTATTGATATTATTGTTATTAAATGAGAAGTCCTTGTCATGTACTAGGGGGCTGCGAAAATACAATAAAATGTAATTCCTGCTCCATGTTAACATGCGATGATAATATGACACCTGAAATTTGCCATCAGCTGTTCAATGGTCTGTGTTAAATGTCTTGTTCATCTTAGCCTGTTTGCTAGGAGACAGATGCCTACATCATTAAACCATCATAGCACTTTGCAAAAAGTACTAATAATGAGTCTTAAATTTTCAGAAGCTTGCAAAAGCCCCCCAGTCAGACCAGCTCAATATAGTAAGACACAAGAAAATACAAGAGACTGAAGGAGGAAAGTAAAGAACATGCAATCAAAAGAGCCAGTCATGATGCTCCATGTCTTACTATAGACATTGATTTCTGCAGTAATTACCCTAGTTATTCAATTCAGTATCTGCCCCCAGTGCTGTATCCAATATTGGTTTTGTCTTTACTAACAATGGGCTGAGCGTCTGAAGGCTAGCAGCAAAGTTGTTGGTTAACAACTGAGATACAAACAACATGAATAAGTTTGCAATACTATATCTTTTAATAGGCACACAAAAGACTTCAGTTGCTAGTGGCAATAACTCCTGGGCTTTTAAATTAACTAATTTTATTTAAAGCGTAAGCATTATAATAAAATAAAAATGTCAGCACATGCTAACTGTTTAGTAAGAAGTTCAGTTGTTCAAAGAATTCCCATTTATTTCAGCTGAATAGAAACAGCTAACACCAGCAATATTAGCAATAATCTCC